ATAATTAGAACAGGCGATGATAGCGATAGTGATACTGATATATTATGTAAATAATTTTAAGTAATTTAAGTAGGTAATAAAATAATTTGTAATTTTATTTTAGATTTAAACATAAACACATACATAAATAAATAAATATTGTTTAGTATCTTTCCTAACAAAACCCCAAATAATTAAATTCTAAACAAAGTACGGACCTGTTCGGCCATACTTCATTCTTACAGCTTGCTCGGGTCTTCTTAATTCATATCAGTTAGTCACTTTCTTATATCTATGAACAGATTTTAATTTCAAATGGGCAAATCAATAATGTACCGAGGAGAAATATGAGCTTTATTTTCTTAGATTAAAAAGTAATTTAGAGATGAAAAACGGGGAATAAATATAATAATAAAAATAGATAAATGGGTCAGAATAATTATATATTAAGTAGTAATAAAAATTATAAAAAATGGGGAAAATAAATAATAAAAAAAATATTAACAATTAGGTTAGATAGATGTTGCCATTGTTACAACTAAGTCACTAAGTTCCGCTTATTGTAGTGAAAAATTTGAAAAGTAAGAAATTACGTGCATAGAAAAATGTTATCAATGTTCTCAATTTTGCCATCAATAATTAGTTTACCGATATATGGCGATCCCTGCGATAGCAAAAATTAAGAAGAAAATATAGTATTTAGTGCTGTATAACTAAAAATTCAAATCGTTTGAGTGGTGTAAATACGAAATATTTTTTAACCTACAGGCAGTTATTGAAACCTTGTTTTAATAAAGAAATCAGAAACATTTCCAAGAAATCTAATCATTAAGTGAGGTTTTCGCAAATATTGAATGTAAACGATAGACTTCCAGTGACAGTAAAGTGCAAAATATAATTAAAAGTCTTGCAAATCAATAAAGTCACCAAAAGTAGGTGGTAAAGTTGATTTTTATTTTGCTGAAATATTTCATATTCATTGATTGAAACGTCACTTGCTTGGAGTCGGTGTGAATTTTCAGGGTGACTTTTTCGCTAAAACTTACTGCCGTTTAATTTGGTGTACCATCGTCCTCATCTCCAGCAGAAATTTTGAATAACGCATAATTTCCTTTTATCATGCATAATATGGTTTTCGTTGTGCATACGTTAGCTTGTCGAGAATTTGCGCCCTTTGTATTTCATAGTCCGTTAGCAAATAGCGGAACCGAAATATTTGCATATCTTTACAGCGGTTTCGCCAGTTTTACGGAGAATATAGGCACATGTTCCAGCTCAAAACATGATGAAAAATGAAAATTTATCATCATTCGTTTACTATGATTATAACTTCAAATTGACATAATTTTTGAAGGATTGGCAAAAGTTAGTATAAATAGGACTACGTTGTAGACCCTAAAAGTATAAGGAAGAAGACGTAAAACACTAAATATATGAATATTCGAAAACTTCAGGATAAATTAGATGAAGTTACAGTGTTTTGTTCTGTTCATTCGCAGCAAGGCGGTACAATTACTTAGTTACCTTGAACTACTATTTCATTTTGAACCTAATAATAGATTAAAATTTTTACCCTAAACCCTAAAACATTAATCAGTCATGTGCTAGTGGATAGTCCAGTAGCAAATGTACACTAACCGTCAGTAACAAAACTATATCAAATAATGAGCAGTTCGAGGTGTTATTGAACGTAATCTCCAAAATCTATAAACCAAAAACTTGTTTAACATAAAGATAACAAATAGAAATATAGCCATGGAAAAAATTTATATGTTATTAAAGAACTTTTCAATATAATGACCGAACGAAATAAGTTGTACAAGAAGAAAATGTTTTCGGAAATACTAAAAATAAAGTAACAAATAGAATAAAGACTTCGACAAATCTATATTTCAGGCATAAATGAAATTAATGTCAATGTGTCAATATTGGTTAAGTAAGTGAGCCAATATTGTTAACATTCGGAATAGGTATTTTTTGGAGGTGGGTAGAAAAATACCGTATACGTGAATACTGAAGTCGAAAGATTGACACCTTATTCAGCAAGAAAAATTTAAATTTGATAAAATTCTTTGTGAAAATAGTTTACATATTGAGTTAACAATTGAGCTAGGGGTTAGAGATATTACTTTTAATTTGAGAAAAGAAAATCAGCACATGATCAAATGAACTTTAAACTAGTCCAAGTCCAATTTATAAGTCCGGTTTAGAAAATTGAGTAGGTAATCATGGACCAATTAGTATTGTGTGTGGTGATTTTTCGAAAATAATTTAAAGTTATACCAAATGAATTAGAAAGCTATAGGTTTGGGGTACTACACAACTCAGCATTTAGCATTGAGGCTGTACTCCGTGTAACAAATAAAAGATTACCACAGAAAAAATCAAATGTATACTTTTCAAACAAAAAGAAAAGAAGTGAATTGTACCAAAACTAATAAAAATCAATAACGCAGAACTTGAACGAGTCAATAAGATGAGAATTTGAATTGGAATTAAAATATGCTGTCAGCGTATTGTTCAGATGTCGACCTAATGTACCTAACGCTCTAGAATGAGTGACTACAATTTATTTTTTTACCAATGCCGCTATATGGGAAAATTGTGGTGAAACTAATTCTAAAATTATGCAAATCATGCAAACCAAAATGTGTTAAGTTCTCTTTTCATATGACAGACACAGGAGTACCGGTGTGAAGTTAGCAACTAAAAGAAAAAAAGAAAGAGCCGAACAACCAGTGGCGGCGGAGATTTCTAAACCAGTTTAAAAAGTAACTGATTTAAATTAAATAGATCTCTCGAGTAAAAATATTCTCTTGCACTCCCGTATAGGGTGAAAAAAAAACGTTTTAAAGTAGAAAAAAAATATTTAAAACTTTTTGTTGAAGTGCTATTATTTATTTTTTTTGGTTATCTAAAAAAGTATGACATCTGTCTAAACTATTTGAAATTGTTACCGGACGATAGTTCTGGCGACTGCCCTTTTGGAAAACTGGCATAACCACCTAGAAAAGATTGATTCACCAAGAATGTTAGCGCAAAAGACTTTTTGTTTTTTAATTTATTTTTATTGAAGAGCTCCTCCTCCATAAAAGGCGCCATGTAAAAAATCTGATCATTTATATCCCTAATAACACTAAGAAAAATCTTTTTGTTATTCAACTAGCCATATTTTTGGGAGCATCTATAAAATAATTTTTTGAATACAGATGCCACAATATTAGACTCATTCTCAATTTTGTTCCTCTGCTTATTAATTAAATTAAAAATTTTATAAATAGAATATAATTAAATAAAAATTGAGGGAACATATAGTGATTGTTTTGAAGTACAAGATACTATCGTAAAATTTACTAATCAAAGAGTAAAAGAAATTAAATAAATAAACATGATGCAAACTAACAATAGATAATTTTTTCACGGATTCGACAAATGTAATAAATTTGTTTGCGCTCAGCTCAGTAAGTAGAACAACCTGCAACTAGTGCCCAAAAGATGAGGATGGGTTCATAAATATTAAAATAATTATAGTTATATATAATTCAAGGCATTTTTGAAAACTGTTTTCAGTCAAGCTCTGAAGAAGCCAACAGGATGATTGGCGAAACGTCAGGAATTTCAACTAACCAAACACCGACGCAGGAGGAATCCAGAAGTTTTGTAAAAAGCATTGCAGTAGTCTGTGGAAGTTTCTTTAAAAAATATTCTAGCAGTGTTTATAGTTCTAAAAGTGATATCACCTTACCACGAACCTGTATGTTCAACCCGTCTATTCATATTGATAGCTTTACGAGGGTAGAGTTAAACTTACAGCTGGTGTGTCCAGAATGCTGAAGTTGGCTAGGGTGTGTCCTGTTCGAAAGAGCGACTCCACTAATGTTTTTATTGAAAATTATCGGCCAATGAAGATTCTATCAACCTTTGCTAAAGCCTTTGAAAAACTGTGCTCGTCTGGTTCGTCATATTAAATTTCATATTTCGCCTAATCAACACGGCTTCATAGCAGGACTGATAAAATTAAATGTGACTTTCTACTATTTGGTGATGACTATAAAATTTAAAGGTTCAACACTAGGTCCCTCATGTTTGCAAGTGGTGTGAGCCAAATAATCTTTTCCATAACATCTTAAAGTGCATAATCTGGCCATGCATCCGAAATCTTCTAACTTTCTTATTTTTGCGATTCACAGCCTTCATTTGTTCAACACATAGATATTATAGTGGATTATTTTCTTAAATTACTTGGATTTATTTCTCGTAACTGCTCAGCATTATTATTCGCTTATCTAAGCTTGAAAATGCTCCATTAATCTGGGTACCAATTTATTTAACTCCTATTCGATCTCTTGAGTATGTTGAAAGACGTTTGGTAAAGTTTCTTGCTTTTAGGGTGCATGGAGTCTACCCAGAGAGGGGTGTTGCTGAAATCGTGCGAAACAGGTTTTTTATTCAAGCCTTGGATCATAGGCGGTTTACGGCTGGTTTAATATTTTTAATGCATGAGCGTATTGACTCAATGAACTTACTTGACTAGATTAATTTTCGGGTTCCGCGAGCAAATACTCTAACATTCGGGGTCAGTTTATTGCGTAGATCAATTAATTATGCTCGGATTACAATTCACTTATTTAGTACAGTACATATTTTTAATGATCGCTTGCCTAGATTAATATTAATAGCTAGCAAACATTACAGAAGTCTTAACATTCATATAACTGCCTAATTTATATGTTATTGTAATTTTCTTTTTCTCTTTTTTTTCCTTAAATTCATGTTTTTTATGAAAATTTTATTATTATTTCAGTTAGGTGAAGGTTAAATAATGAATTTTTCAAAACATAAATTCATCGATCTTTTACCATCGCGAATCAAATTAATTGACCCTAAGTAATTTTGCAAATTTTATGATAAACGAACTTATTCATAGAGAGAGAATTTCAAAACCAATTCCAGGGCACTGAAACCCCTGGATTCCCTCCAAGACAATGCTTAAAATAATATCGTCACGATTTCTTCCACAGAGACACAGTATCCACGGCATGATGGAAGAGGAGAACGTCATCAGGCCCCACCAGGAGATCGCGCAACTCTCCCTCGACGAGAAAAAGTTCCTGCTGGCAGTCGAAAGGGGAGACGTCGCTTCCACCAGGCGGTAAGCAATTGTTTTATGTTCGTACGCCGTATCGTCACATATCGGAAACTAAATCGACTTATGTGTTTCACGCGGCGACGATCGTCTCTTGTTTGTTTCTCCGTCAATTAGGCCGTCGAGAGGTGTTCGTAAACAGAAAACAAATGCTTCGCGACAAATTTTCGTTGCCCCTTATCCTTTTTCAGTTTATGAAGCTGCTTATTACTTGTTAATACTCATTCGGAATAAAATCGATGCATGTTCTGCACTTGTATATTCAATATAATCCAAATTTGGCTCCTTAATTATTCGTGTAGAAAAAGAAACAATAGGGTAACTTCATAAACATAAAAGCCATATTTTTTTCACAAAATTAGATTTATAGCCTCTAATCATATATGAATCGTTTCTACTTTCCAATAATGTAAAAAGTACATGAAAATAATAACTCACGTTGGCATAATAAAAAAATAAAAAAAAAACGATCTAAGCTCCTTTTTTACGCATCGCAAGCACACAAGTGCAGCCCTCGTACAACTACCTTATACGTCCGATGCATTTGATCCAATCGTCTTGATTTTCGTGGGTTTATAATTATCTCCGTACCCCACACATTAATTTTCATAATCACCATCATCGCCGACTCAAGTAAAATTTCCGTTTCAGCTTCTGAAGATGAAGAATCAACTATTTGATTGTGCTTAATAGATGGCTTTGGCATTTTTGCATCTTTCTTCTCTTTCTTACTACGTTCCTTTGCTGCTTTCTTTTTCTGCCAGATCTCTTTCGCGTTTAATATTCTCTTCTGAAGTTGCGACGGCTGATTAGATAGTTTCAAGTATTTTTTTTTAATGTCTAAAGTTGTTGGCAAATCGACATCGCCTGGTGAATTGTTCGTAGCTTCTCTAGTTTACATAAGGAATATATGCATGCTTCGGGACTACGTTGGGGTCTAGAGGATAGATTCCATTAGTAGTCCATTAGTAGTCTTTGACCGTGCTTCTCCCAAAAACTTTCCAAATTGTAGCATGTTGATAGATCTGGTTGTGTTTGGCTTGAATAAATGTGTTGCATGCTGAGTAGTGATATGACTTCAGTGCTTTAAAAAAGGGTGTAAAAACCAGTCCCTCAAGCTTTCGACAAATGAATTATGTTTCTAGCTATAAATGAAAAATTGAGGTGTTTACGTATGCTGATTTTTCCGACATAGTAACTGTAGAACCTTCATATTCACTTTTTTTGTTTTTGCTTTTGAAGAAATATAGTGAAGAGATGCCAGTCCGGTCAGCATTAAAACATACCATTAAAGAAATTGTTTCTCCTTTTCTCCTGATGTCAACGTCGTCCCATTTTTGGACCCTTTAATTGGAGGCCGGTTTCATCCATTGCTAAGCTTGTTAATTAAACCCTTTTCTTTAAGCGTTTATTCAACATCATTAAAATATTCAAAAACATGTGCTCCTAGCTCCAGCAAGAGAAAATTCTTCGGCCACATCGTTATGCCCTTAAAGAAAACAATACAACGAATATAGACCAGCTTCCATTTTTTTGCTATTTCTCAATTTTCGGTTTCCTCTCGCGTGCCAAAAGTGTCCAAAAAAGCAAATTAACACCGACTATCCTGCTTCGCACGACTTCAATGACAGATGAGAGTTTTTCCTCCGATTACGATCGTCGAGAAACACTACCGTCAAACGGGGCTACTTTCACACCTTTTCAGAACATTTTTCAATATAACGTCGTTATTTATCAACCTAACGATATGAAATAAATTAGATCTTAACCAATCTGGTCTGCTGATTTGAATGCTGCACGCCAAATTGCACTAAAAATAATAGAAAAAAAAATTAAATTTAGAAATTGGTATGTACAAGTTACCCGGAGTTCGGTTCTAATAAACGAATTTTAAAGCATCGCAACATCAAGAAAGCTGAATGACATTAATTATATTACAGTTTTAAAATTAAAAAACAAGAAAACATCCTAATCTACGTTTTACAGTCAAAAACAGTAACAGAAAAATACCATGGTATGTATAGGAACTAAAGGTTAAACATACCCCAAACTAAGTTTCGGTTTCAGGGTTAAAGGTTCTATCCTCATCGCAATTGTCAGAATAGTTTCTCCAGCTCTGAGTCTGCCCACACATAAAATGGATCAGTGCTTTCTGAATTACGAAGTCCGCAGATCCACTTCTTGCATCGAACAAATTGAATCTAGTCGCACCCCATATTTTGAATTTAAATCGCTCATACTTTTCAAACTTGCGTTTGTTATACTAATAGGAGGACGCACCCTTAGGTTGATTAATTTTGCCTGTGACCTTTTCTGGTGGTATTTCTAGTGACTCTGGCCGGCTGTCAGAAAAGCAAGACATGCTTCATTTTGGATTTGCTCACTGAAAATCACTTGGTCTTCCATAGTCATCTAACTTTCAACTTCTTTCCATTTTTTCTTTTTTTGGTGGCTTGTTCTCCTCATTACTTTAAAAAACTCGACCAATGATGAATCAAGAACTCGTTCAGTTTCTTCCAAGTTTTCATTGAATCCTCCATGAATCTTCCTTCCTTAAGACTTCATCAATATTTATTACGTAAAGTTCGGTGGTTCTAAATCCTGGTTTTAAATTTGCCTCTACAGTCTCTGAAACTTTGTTCCAGAGAAGTGAAAGTAAGGTTGGGAAGTGTTCTTTGTGTAAAGTTCCAGGATATCTGCTCTCCTTTTGCCATTTTTCCAATATTTCGCGCCACTCCCGCTTAAAGGGTTCAAATTCAGCCACATCTAGGGGCTGCATCAAAAGTGTGGCGTTGACTGGAAAAAGGCACACATAAATATTATTTTCTAGCGCTGCTTTCATGACTTGTGGTGAAAAATGGCTAGCCAAGTTATCCCCAACTGTAACTTTTCGTGTTTCTGGTTCCATGGTAGCTATTATAAACAGTGCTAAGCGGTATCAGAATACACCAGTTGCCAGAAAAATTGGAGCCTCTAAATACTACAATAGGAGACAGGGGAGCTTCAGGTTCATTGCCACAGACCATTATGCTGACACAGGACCGAGAATACTTTTGTACTGATTCTACCCTACGGAAGTTCCTGGGAACAATAACTTGATCATCAACACCATGATCATCAACAATATTAGTTTCGTCGTAATTGTATAAGCTTTTATTATCAACATCACTTAATGTTTTCTTTATTTCTTAGTTTCTTTTTTAATATTTGTTTCAATGCACGTGGAAAGATTTTGTTTCTTAATAAATTTTTTGACAAAATCGGGTAAAGGATAATTATTTTTGAATTCACGCTGTTTATCCAAGATTTTTTTTACCACGGCAAGTACTTTTCTCAGATCTTCACTCGAATAGTTGCGGTAACTCCGCGTTCGCGGAACTTTTTCGTAATGTCTTACCATTTTTAATTACTTAGTACTTGTAACGTTTGAAACTGATATTAAAATAAAGTAAAAGAAAGGATAATAAAAAAAGTGTTATAAACTGTCTGAGAAAAATAGCAAACTGCGTCATCTCAAACGCCGCGCCATCTAACCCGAAGATACCCTAACTTACGGTAACTTGAACTAAAAGCAGAACGAAGTCAATATGTAAAACAAGAACACAGAACACAGAAGGCAAAATAAAAGTGGCTAACCGATAAAATCCTTCACTTTATAAAAACAGAAAAACTTTCAAAAATAAAAGCGAGCGTTACAAGGCAATCCAAATACGACATAAAATCAGAGTTGCAAAAGAAATTTTTTATAAAACAAAGTGTAAAGAAATGGAAAAATTACACACACTACAAAAACTAAATCGAGCCAATACATCATCACATACGACAAAATAATGATATATACAGAAGAAAAACTAACAGCGTGGAAAAATAATGAGGAGGAACCCTTCAAGGATCATAGACAAAAAGCTGACCTTGAACGTATCGATGAGCGTCCTGAAATAACAAAGGAAGACTTACATGGACTGAATACCCTGAAGATCAAAAAAGTGTCGGGCCCAGATGATCTACCAACCGAAATTCTTAAACTTATAGAGGAAGAGAGTATTCACGTCATTGTCGATTTGTTAGGGATAATACCATAAGAATGACTGACACCAACCTTTATAACGCCACCAAACAATGTAATTTATGTCTGTTTTGGCTATTTGTTGGTCGTTAAATAATAAAAAAAATGAACAAATAAATACATTTTCCCACAGAAAGATATACTTGTCAATTCGTCAGTCATTCCTGTCTCAATTTATTACATCCAGTAATGAACTAGATAAAGATGTCATGCTATGAAGTAACTACAAAATTGCTCTTACAGTTCAGTAAAGATTTATAACTCTCAACACAACACCGACAAAGTGAATGCAAATTTTTCTTCACATAAACTTAAAACATTTGAAATTTTCAATGAAGGGGCATATCGAGAAACGCCAAACTGACAACTAACAAGGTTTATGTTTAATAGCTTTTCCATGTGGAGCATAGCAGGAAGGTTCGAGTTTTTAAACGCAAAAGTTTGCTTCGGCTATCCGCACAAAAATTTCGTCTGACTCTTCGTTGCTCTTATCTTGTAGCCAAGTTAGCCGTTATCGACAAATCGATTTATGTGTCGTTATGTTTAAAGAAACAGCGATTCTATTTCGCCTGTATCTTCCGTTAGAATTACTGGAGTATTGCCACATTATTTGGCACTGTTGTAATTCCGTTTTGGCAACTGAAACAATGCATTCCAGCGATGCCCTGCGAAACGCGCCTGTTTAGGTCGACGTTTAAGATTCAAGAATTCTTAAAGGGCATCTATGAATAAAAAAAATTGTAATAATCTCATGCGAAAAGTTAAACTCATATACTACCTACTTATATTAAAAAATACGCACATGAGAGACAATATTTACCTGAAGTAGTATACTGAGCGGATCCTTTATTACAGAACCTGTAAAAATTGTAAAAACAACTTAAAGACAAAACTTGATTTGGTTAGTTTTAGTTTTCACAAGAAAAATATCACAAAAAAT